GTGGCTATGTACTTGCTGTCATTTGGACTATGCCGACTGAAATCAATCAATGTATTTCATCATCGCCTGGGGGAGGTCGTTTGACAACAATTTGCCTAACAAAAGCAACATATAGTTTTCACTACCTTTTCAAATTGAACATTCTTTATTTTAGTTTATATTTTGGCATTGTTATGTTAATGTATATGTGCAATTGTGGCCCGTCATCTACTTAGGCATCTTATATGGTTGATTGTATTACTAAGAAGGAGCTATTGCATGTTGGGTTAACTGTCATATCTGGATATTCTTACTTACATTCTTTAGATCGATGAATACTGTGCCTATTACCAACTAAGATGGCTTTCTAAGGAAGCATGCTAGTGCCCTAGTCAACATTTTCAACTGTCAATGTATCAATTTTTTTGCAACAGGGCGAGGCACTTTTCCAAACACACGAGAACCTGGAACATCTGGCTATGATGGAAAGGGTTTTGGGGCCATTGCCTCAAGATATGATGATGCGAGCAGAGTAAAACTCTATTTTTTACATCATGTCATGGACCAAGCTCTGATAATGATTCTGATAGTTATTGCGTTAATCTTCTGCAGCCGGCAGGCTGAGATATATTTTAGAAGGGGTGCAAAGTTGGATTGGCCGGAGGGTGCAACTTCAAGGGAAAGTATGAGGGCAGTTTGGAAATTGCCCTATCTTCAGGTGAATATTAGCTTGTCAACTCCAAACTATGCAGGAATTGTTTCTCTCTCTTATACAGCTATGGAAAAGTATACAAGAGGTGCACTGTTTTAGTTTCTTCCATGGGAGGTAACAGAGTAAATAAATGCTTGTCAAGTGTCTAGCCTGAGAGAGTGGTAGGTGCCTGCTTGATTTTTCTTTTGCTATCCAGAATACCCTTCAAATCCTACATTTGTCTTAATAAATATTCCAACTTAGACTGTTCTGTCAGAATGTATTTTTTGATCGGTTTTTGAAAAGCTATTTTCTGTGATCGTTAATTTTCCCCTTTTTTCTCTTTTGCCTCCACTTCCTCTCTCTTCTCCATTCTCTCTCTTTTAAGTTGTTCTTTTTATTTTATGTTGGTTGTTATATTCTTACTTCCACTTGTTTGGCAAGAGATTGTATGGGGAGTGATGACAACTAGGTAGGTGCATTTAGCTGTTGGTGGTCCTGTTAGTTGGTGCTTACTTTAGAATATGGTACATGCATTAGTTCTGTCTGATCATCAAAAGTTCTTCTGTGATGTTTGGGCTAGATGTCAGATTTACTTAATAATGCCGAAGCATTTGTCTTGCCTCCGCATGTTTTATTTTTGGGTCGTTTGACAACGTGGAACCTCATTGTTATTACACCCACGACCCATCGAGTCGGGTTTGTAAAGTTGAGGACAGATCTAAAATTTTGGATTTGATCCTTAGTCAGCAGCTGAAAGCAGGTCTTGGTGAATAGCCATTGCGGAGAGGACTTTTAGGGGAATTGTTTAAATGGCTTCTGTAGAAGTATTGCAATTGTTTTATTGGCTGAGTGGCTGCTTGGATTCTTGTGACCATGTTAGTGTTGGTAAAAGGTGTGTCACTAATGAGATTCTTTGGTATGTACAGAAATATTAGAAAGAGAAGTCGACCCTTTTATAGGGCAAAATATTTTACATCATCAAGTTTTTGCTTCTTAGTAAAGAAGCCAGAAAACTCTCGAATTCTAAAGGATGAATGCTGTTTTACTAGTGTCTAACACTCTTTTACCAGTATTATTAATTTGGCACCAAGCTTCTAAGGGTGGCACTGATATGATCTCTCCACCGTATCCCAGAACTTGATCATGCAGCATGTAGACCACTCAACTGGAGATCTGATTAATCTTTTGCAAGAGAAGCTCTGTCACACCCCTTCTTCACAAGGGATCTGAGAAGGGATTTCTATCCTTTCTGGTTGGAACATCTCATCAGCCATTTCTATTGAGAGAACAGGGAAAGGAAAATCCACACTTTCATTAAAGAAAAAAGGAAAAGATAAAAAAACAGAAGGGGGCAGAAAACAGTACACTATGAAGATTGGCTGCTGTTAGTGCCAACTTCTGATGCACTTGATCTGCTGGCCTTGTGTTGTAAGTACGCTGTTTTCTTATTTATTTTGTTTAATTCTCTCATTTCTTCTGTAGTTTTATGATTGATAGTATGAAAATGTGTCTATACCATTTGCGAAGTCAGCGTTACTATGCCCTTCTTCTGTGAGTCATGATTTGAAATGAAGATTCAAGCTAATATAATCTCTGATTGAAGGTTAATAGTAAGACTTTTCATGGTTAAAAACACTGCTAGTCAATCAACTTATTGTGAAGTTCCATTTTATTGACACAAACTTTATTTTGTTTCAAAGTGGTCAGTGAAGTTTAACTTTGTTCTAGTTTGGTCATTTAGTTAAACTCTGTTATTCTTTCGAACCAAATGTTTCAACTTAAGACAGAAATTTGAAGTCACAACTACGAGTACGTCCTTCACGTCATCCATTCTGTTAAAAAAACTAATGGATGCTACCGAGTGACTTAACATAGACAAAAAGTAAACTTTTTGATTATTTAATATAATAAAGTTCATTGACTGACGGATGGAGATCAAGATAAGGATAGAGTTATAATTTAGATAGGATTTTAAATAAGAGTTTTATTTAAATTATGATTGTTTAGATTACATTAGATCACATTATTATTAATATCAATTGTGTTCCACGCTGCTACAGCCCCAAAACAAAACTGGAGAGCAGATTTACTATTTCTTTCCCCCCCTATTTTGGTGAAATGATTGTTGCTTCTGCCTTTTAGCCCCAAAACAAAACAAAACAAAACAATTTCCTTTTCCATGTTTACACTACTGCACTAACCCTACCCACTTGAATTTGTTTATAAATTTAAGCAACTCTTTTTTTCTACGTACTTATTTTCAATTACACATTCATCCAATAAAATATTCTGTATGTAAATCCAAAACTTTTTTCTACTTTTTAACCACAAATTCTCCTGAAAATTACTATTCAAAATTCTATTTTTCAGAAGTACAGTTGTCAAACAGGGGTTTAGTTGTACTAAAAATTACTAGAGCTGAATATTTCATTAAAAGTGTCAGAATCATTTCTAGCTGTAATCGCACTACAAAAAAAAAATATTAGTCTAGTGTTTTACTGAAACAATGGGACAAAGGTGCCTACAGTTGATTAATGGTTTTAGGTGAGTGGGATTATCTATAGACACCCTAATTGTAGTTGGGATGACAATCTGGGGAAGCTTTCTACTGTCTGGATTATAACGTCAATTGGACATGGTCTAGGGTGATTGGTTTATTCTACCTAATAGGTAAATCTCTTTGGATGCAGAAGATTAGAATGAAGGTGTTGATTCTAATTAATATCGGGAGATCTCTTGATAGGGTATTTTCGAGGTAGTGATGATAGACTCTGATGAAGTGTAATGTTTCTTTGTTGAAAGTAGATGGAGAAAAGAGGTCGTCACTTGAGAACAGTGATGATCATATATTGGTTATATGATGTATTTCTTATGAAAGAGATATATTAACTAGACATGACGATGATGTAAAATTTACAATATATTTCATACAATGAAGTGTACATGACGAAATGGACAACGGTTAGGTATTTCATGTATTATATTAATTATGTTATAGATGTTGATCAATCTCACCCGTTTTACCTGTGACATTAGAACATCAGTGTCATTATGTAATTGGTATGTTGGAACGGCAACCATGTGTGATCTTTAGATTGGTGAGTTGGAGAGGTATCACTTGGAACCACATTAGAGTCAAAAACAGAGTTGGCTTTCTAGTGAAAGACCCCCTTCCAATAGGAATAGAAATTTGAGTCGCGAGCTTCAAGGCATTCTCTTACCCCTGTTAACGTTAGAACACATGACCAGTTCTTTTGTTTGTTTTGCGCGGTCCCATGCCTGCTTCGTCTATTCCATTTTCGCGTGAGCCCCCCAACACCATTCGGAGCCTAATCGATCATTATTTACTTGTTAAAATTGATTACTTTGGACTGATTGTGATACTTTTGAATTTTGATTAATTTTTTTGATTCTACTCAAAATCTATGTTTTTTTTTTCCTCATAGAGCTCCCTTTTTGTTGTTATTTGTGTTATTTAAGTCATTTTATAAATTTGGACAAATTTATTTATTTATTTTTGGAGAATTTATTAGATCTCTTGTTGTTAAGGTTATAAGAAAAATCATGGAAAAAACTTTTTATATTCCAAAAATTGAAAAAGAGAGATGAGTGTGAAAAGATCCCACGGCAATTCCACGTGCCTGTGTGTACAAAGAGCGTGGGCTTTTATGGTAAGCCCAACTTATAGTCGGTGGGACCCAAACCATGTATTGTCTTTTAATATTTTGCCCTTCTGATCTGCAATAGAAAATCAGCAGGGGAATTGCTTGTGTGTACAGAGGAATTGCTGTCAGAATTAACATTTTTTTTCCCCATTTTTCAATGGAAAATATTCTTTAATAAAATAATATTTTTCATCACAACAATAACTTTTCTTTCTTTTTCAACCACATATTCTCCACCACATCACTTCAAAAAAATTCACTCCTCGTTTTAATATGCACCAAACACACTCCAAGTGTATTTTTTAGAAATTTTGGCAATCATTTTTTGTACACAGCAGAACTGATAGAAAATTGATGAATTTTACAGAGGTAGATGATGATTTTATCCTCTCCGTGTATTGTTTTGCACCATTGCCTGCTTTGTCCTCATTTTTGGGTAGTTGGAATCACTTTCTCATGCTCTAATGACCATTTAGGACGTGTTTGACCAGACTTTTAGAATGTTAAAAGCAATTTTTGAGATTAAGGAGATTCTTTTGAATATATTTGAATAATGTGGAAATTTTTTGTCGGACAATAATTTTTAGAGGAAGTTGATTCAATCTGATAGCTCTTCTATAAATAAAATTAAAAAAATCAAAGCCTTTCCAAAGAGACCCTTAGAACCCTTCCATTGAAAGTTGCACTATGATTTTTTTTTTAATTATGTTCCTATGTGCGTGAAGACTCTAAATGAACAATTGAGCAACAAGGCCTTGGTATGAAGATTGAGATGGAGATTGGTTCTATTGAACTTGAGATGTTCGTAGATCTCAGTCCAACTTTATTGGTTGAAACATGTCAGTTACGATTTTCTTTTTTAGTGGTAATTTTATTTTTTATTTCACTTAACTAGGATCAAATTTAAATAGAAAATTATCAAATATCCTCTGTATATAAACTTATAAATGATTTATATATTCGGTTAAAGTTAAACATTAATGTCAATTACATATTTATATTATTCATAATATATTTTATTTTATTTTTTACCTCTAGACAATTCCTAAAAGTCACAGCATGGGACAGAAAAACACACATTGGCTTTTGAACGAGTGAACGAGGGAACCTAATTCTTTTTTTTTTAATGTTACTTATTTACCAAAAGCTTTTCAAACCCTAATGCCACTCGGACAACATCGGCGCCCAATTTAGACCCCTATTTTGGGTTAGTGGCATCATTTGGGCCCACATTTCACGTGGATGGGCCCATTCAAACAAAGCAAAGGCTGCTTATTAAAATCTCCTCTAATCTCCTCCCCACCAATCACATATCTCCTCCCACGTGGGACTTCAGGCCCCAATCTATTTCAATATTCATTATCATATTAATTATTTTATTACATATATACCATTATACCTGTCTATATAATATAAAATTATATTCTATCAACTTCTTATATCTTTTTTCTTCGACATTCTAACCCTGAAGCCGTCTCTCTCTCTCTCTAAATCCTTCTTACCCTTTCAAATCTAGATTTTTCCTTTTAAGGTTTCTTGATTACAAAGAAGTTGGGTCTGTAGTTATTACAGCAAGAAATCATGGGCGATTCTTCTGCTCAGTACATCCATATGGTAACTCTCTCTCTCTCTCTCTCTCTCTCTCACTCTATATATATAATATATATATAGGCCTGTTTGGGAGGGATTNTATCACTATTCACAATCAATTCTTCCCCCAAAAATCACTCCCAAACAAGCTCATAGTTTCTGTCTCTGTGTGTGTGTTGATTATGTTGACGTTTGATGTCGTGATGATGAAAGGTACAACATCTTATCGAAGAGTGTATAATATTTGATATGAGCAAAGAAGAATGCATGGAAGCTCTCTCCAAACATGCAAATATCAAGCCGGTTATCACTTCTACAGGTCACTCATCCTCACAGATTTTTCTATGATTTTTATTTTATTTTATTTTATTCAAAGACAATTAAAATACGTCTGTTAAGCAGTGTGGAAGGAGTTAGAGAAAGAGAACAAAGACTTCTTTGATGCCTACACAAAGAGGAGAGAGGAGAGAGAATCCGAAATGGAGACAAGGCAAAGAATCCACAAGATGCAATTGGAATCTCCAATACAGGATGCCAACAAATGAGGCAAACGACGTCGGATCATTGGCATCGTCCTTGTTAACATGTACTACAATAAAACCCAAACTCTCTATGTACTACAAAAACACCCCCAAGTGTTTTTTGCTTGGGGCACTGTGCCTTAATGACTAATGTGCATTGTTTCTTGACACGTGTCGAGAGCCCACGTTGTTATTATATGATTTTCATGTCTACCTAGGGTTTGGAAACTTGCACTTTCTATTACGTTTATGTTTTTTGGTTGTTTTTGGAGGATTGATGATATTTTGTGTTCATAAATGAAGTGTTGAAAGGGACCATTTGAAAAGGAGAATTTCTTTTTGTGCTATATTGGTACGTGTATTGGGCCTTCTTTTGTATAAGAATAATGAGTTAGGGGTAGGCCTGCACAAAAATTACTTATCGTCAAATCGAATCGAAATTGTGGTTTTGAACACCAACATGCATCTACATGAATTAATCAACGTTTTGGTTCAAAGTCGAACCAAACCATTTAGAATTGGTTTATTTTAGGTTTTAATCATCAACTGAAAGAAAACAATTCCATGCGGATTTATAATGAGGCGGTGGGGTCAGTTAGTCCCCGCACTTTTCTGAGCATCAGAATCATAAAGCTATTGTGATTGAATACTTTGTACAAGATTTTCAAAAAGTTGTTTACAATATTCAGTTTTGCTCTCATAATTAAAATTTCGTGAAATTTGTCCACACAACTCTACACTAAAGTTGGCCTTAGTGATCCGACGGTGCCGAGAGGAAGGACCGTCACTCATCAGATAAAAGTTACTCTAGAGATAACACGTTGATATTCCGCAAGAGCTCATATTGACTGGAAGGTTTGACACCTCGATGTCGACTCTTCGTCACCCAGTGTTGTAGTATGTTTCAAGGATTGGGT